TTTCTATCCCTCAGCTCTGCATCTGTCTATGTATGGATCAATGCCAAATGATTATCTAGCTCAGTGGTGTCAAACTCAAAAATAGAGGCCACTAAACCACACATAAGTATCCCTGCAGGCCACATAATGACTTAGAAATCTGTGTGTGTGTGTGTGTGTGTGTGTGTGTGTGTGTGTACATATTTTTTTTTATTAATGCATCAACACATTAAAATCAGATAGGAATTACATTTTAATCTGGCTCAAGCTTCACTCAGGAGTGTTGTGGGATGCATATAGGCCATGTTTGACACTGCTGATCTAATGGGTGTGAATTATTTACCCAATTAGAACAGTTTTGAGCTGCCACCTAATGGCAACCTTCATTTCTTCTCTGACTAGAATATATTTCCATAAGCCCCAGTTGTATGATCTTGGTATAATGGAGCTAACTTCCTGCAAAACAACAGCAATGCTTGCAGCATTATGATAGAAAAGATAAAAGCAATGACCAACACAAAATAAATCCCACAGCCCCTCCAAGATCCCCAATAGTCCCAAATGGCATATAACCTTATCCAAACAAGGAGTTATTATCATCATATCATCATCATCATCATCATCAATACTAAGTTAACATTTGCATAGTACTTTAAGGTTTACAAAGCACTTTTACACATATTACCTCATTTGATCTTCACAATAGCTCTGTGAAGTAGGTGCTGTTATTTTATAGATGAGGAAACTCAGGTTGGCAGAGATTAAGTGATTTCCCCAAATCTTACAACTTACAAATATCTGAGGTTGGATTTGAACTCATGTCTTTCTGACATCAAGTCCCACACTTAATCTACAATGCCACCTCTTTTAGGTTGGCTGTCCATGGCAGTATCCCCATGAATGGACAAAGAAGTGTAAACAATATAACAAAGTCCCTACTCAGTGTTCCACTTGTATCCAGCAGGACCAGTCATCAGAAGACACAAAGACTCTAAAGGAATTCTGGACTCAGGAATCATGACAAAGGAGTTGTATTTGGGATCCAAGTGGCAGAAGGAAACAGAAAGTCCCATGGCCAGTGATTTCCTTAGTCTCAGCCAGACCAGTCACTGGCAGGAACTTCTGACCTCATCTTACATACCTACCTCACCATTCTTGGAGTAGCTTGAATGGACCCAGCAGCCTGCCCCGATAGAGAGAAATAAAGAAGCCACCATGTTACTCTGATGTCTCTCTCCAACTTTCTCCTTCTGCCCCAGTCCTCCTATGCCATAGCTGGGTCACGGTATCATGTAACTCCTCTAGGTCTCATTTTCCCCATCTGCAAAATGAAATGTTATATTCTGTGATCTCTAAGGTTCACTCCAGCTTTAAATCTAAATCACATCACTTCTTTCACTCCTCAATAAACAGTCAAATTTGGTTGTTCTTGTAACCTCTCCCAATCCCTGAAGTGAAATAGGGAGTGTGGGTGGAGTAAATTCATTCTGTCTTATAGCCATTTGTGTACTTGACTCCTCACCCTGCTGGACTGCCAACTCCTTGAGGGCAGGGAATATGGACTATTTTATCTTTGTATTTCAAATTTTCCAGCTAAGTCTTTTATTTAATAGGTGGTCATTATTAGTAGCAATAACAACAGCATACTGGTGTGGTTTGCCATTTTCTTCTCCAGATCATTTTACAGATAAGGAAACAGGCAAACAGGGTTCAGTGACTTGCCCAGGGTCACACAGCTATTAAGTGTCTGAGGCCAGATTTGAACTCAGGAAGATGAGTCTTTCTGACCCCAGGTCCAGTACTCTATCCACTGTGCTACCCAGATGCTCCATTCAACTCTTTAAGGTTTAAAATTGTTTTTAAGACTTTATCTCACTAAAGCCCTTGTTTAACTACACTGAGACAGTTCATTCCCTTTTACTCCTTGACTCTCTTCACTCTCCTCCTACCACTACAACCTTACTCCTTGCCCCAAACTCTGGCCATTCTGGAAGGCTCAGTCCTCCATCCTTGAGATCTTCCTTCTGCCCTTTCTCCCTCCATACTAATCCATTCTCATGACTTCAATCATCAATAAATATTTGGTGGCTAGAGGAAGGATAACTCCTTCTGTTCTATGACTGCCATATTATTGACTTTAGAGCTAAAGAGAAATCCCAGAGAATGTCTAGTCCAGCAATGCTTCATTTTATAGATGAGGAGACTGAGGCATAGACTGGCCCAAGGTCAACTAGAAAGGAAGTAGCAGAAGGATTTTATATAGTTCTGATGCTAAATCCTGGCTTCTTTTCATAATGTCACTCTACTTCTCTGTCTCTACACCCAGACTTGAATCCCTTAACCCTAATATGTACCAGAATATTTCAATTCTCTTACATTTTCCAGGTACAAATAAGAAAAGTGCCAGGTGATTTGATATAAGAGACAGTGCTGCTCAGAGGCAGCAGAAAGAGCTTTGAGGACCTGGGTGTGAATTCTAGCCCTGCTACTCATTATCTATGTGGCTTTAAGCAAGTTACTTCACTCTTCTGGGCTTCAGTTTCCCCATCTGTAAAATGAGGGAATTATATGAGATGACCTCTAAGGTTCTTTCCATCTCTAAATCTAAAGTTATGATACTATGAATAGCAACGTTCTCTCACACCCCAACCTTTAAGGCACATTTGAGTTACCTGGAATGTCCCTAGAAGGTGGTCCCTGAGGAAGGGACACCTAAGCTGAAGTTCCCCAGATCTGCAGATGGTCCCTGTGGAGATGGGTTTTACTTGTCATATATGTAGGAGTTATTTCTGAGGTTCTCCCAGAGCTGAAGGCAGGAAAAGAAAAACAGAGACAGAGAGAAAAGAGAGGAGAGGAAGGAGGTGGGGCAGGGAAGGAGGGAGGCAGACAGATAGTAAAGACCTGACAAGATAAGGCAAAAGCCATGAGAATCCAAGGACTCTAGGATGGAGTCTAGGTTAATGGTTGGGAAGTGATAGTCCAGATAGTAGTGGCAAGACTACTGAAATAGGTCAGGAAATAAGGTGAAGGTAAGTTCCCGGGGTGAAGAGAAGGAGACAATTCTAAGAAGGGTTGCTGAGGTCTCTGCTCCACATAGATCCCTAGAGGCACCAAAGGACTTCTGGGAGCTGAAGTCAAAGAGATCATTGATCTGATTAGAGCCCTGAGTGCTTTATCAGTAGAACCAAAAGTGTACTTGGGGCCTGAGAAAGTTGGATTGTCAGTAGAAGAGCCTGAGTCAGAATGGAAAGTGGATGCCCACTTGTCCTCTTCCAGGATGGAAGGTACTCCCTAGCTCTGAGATTCTGTGCTTCCACCAGGGCAGATAACATTTGGAGCTAGTGGTATCCCGAGCTATGTCTACACAAGGTAGACTTGGCATGGTGACAGAGCTCCCTCACTCCCATTTCCAATCCCCCTCAACTCTTCCTCTCTTTCTCAGAGTGCATGGGAGTGGGGGAGCTATAGAGACTAAGAAGATCTCCAGAGTCATCCTCCTAAAACACAGCAACAGTCATGTCCCTCCTCTGCTCCAACATATTGAGTCTTTAAAAAAAAAAAAAGTAGGGTGAATGGTCAGCACTGGAAAATACCTTAGCGATCTAGTCCAGCCCCTTTGTATATGGGGAAACTGAAGCCCAGAGAGGAAAAATTATATACCAGTCAGTACCAGAGAACATCTAAGGTATCCTGACTCCAAGTCCAGTGTTTTGGGGTTTGAGAGTACCCCCCTCTAACACTACAAATCAAAACATCTATACCTAACTTCCCAAGCCCTTCATAAACCTACTCCACCCCACCTCCTGACCTCGTTTCCCAATATCCTCTTGTCTACTCCAGTTGGGCAGGTTGATTTTGTTGTCTTAACAACACACAATGGGACGCTGATTACCATTCCAATCAGACCATGTCACTTTGGGTTAGCTCTACTTATTAGGACACTTTCTTTATAATGAACTGCTTCTACTTCTGACCTCTTGGACTAAGCCAAATAAATCTAAACCCTTACAATATGTGCAGGTAATTATGTCCACCACAAAGTTTTGACTTCTCCAGGCTGAACACCCCAGTTCATTAATTATGTTGAGTCATCTCATTATCTTGGTTGCCCTTCTTTGGATGTGTGCTGGCTTATCAATGGCCTCACTCAAAAATGGTCCCCAAAACCTCAAAGGTTGGGAATAATTTCATCAAGTGGAATGGGGGTGGGGACAATGTTGTTGGGGTATGAAAGATAAAGTAGTGGAAAGAAGAAGTTGGGGGAGAGAGGCAGATCAAAAAGAGGGGAGTTTTGTTCAGGGATAGATATGATGATGATACTAAATGATGGGGGACGCATAACTATTTAACTCTTCTGTGATTCTGGATAAGATTGATGAGAAATGTGAGGACAAAGGTGGGGAGGTGAAGATGATGGTGAGAATAAATATACACAGGATCAGGATATGAGGGGGAGAGTAGATGTTAGGAGTGAGGCTGAGGATGGGAAGGCTGAAAGGGGGGATGCTAGAAAAGTGGAGGATGGGAAAGGTGGAGAGGATAAGGTGAGAGGAGGTTGAGCAGATGGTGGAGAAAGTTCTGCATACAAGAGACACTTACTAAATGTGTGTTAAATTTAAATTTAGAAGGCCCTGGCTGAGTAGGCTCTTGAGAAGGTTGTCTGTGAACTGTTGAGTTCAAAGTTCCTGGCCTCAGTGTTCCTGGTGTTGCCAGTCTCCCCTCAGGCAGTAGGTCCTAGCTGAGCCTTGTTTGGGTGGCAACCAGGGCCTGTGTGCTTTGGGGTTTGGCCAAGTTTCCTTACTCAGGCCTACGTGAAAGGAGGTTCCTTTTCTCTCCACTAGTTCAAAAGGAAGTCAGGAAGAACGTTCAAGTCACTGGAAGTCAAGGTGACAGCCAGCCTCACGTAGACGGAGCTCTCTTCTTTCCACACAAGGCACGTTTCCTCTGCCCGGTGTGGCCAAAAGTGGGACACAGAAAAGGGAAGGAGTTTGGTGAGGCACCTGTGAGCTGGACCGTTCCCAACACAATACCTGGGTTCAGGACGAGGACCAAACCCTCCTTCCTCTTTCTCCAAGACCAAGTCATCTTCCTGACCCTTCTGCTGTGGGTAAGTACTGCCCTCCACACTGGGACTTGCCCACACCTTGGCTCCCAGGGATGGGCCCCAGTGACCTCTCACCAACACTTTTGTTTTTCTCTCCCTCTTCTCTCCCAGCCCATACTTCTCTTTCTATTTCTCTTCTCTCTCTTCTTCCCTCTTCCCTTTCTCTCTCTCCATCCCATCCCTGTCTTCCTGTCCCTCTTTCCCTGCCTCTCCCCTTCACCATACCTCCTCCTCTTTCTGTCCCTCTCCTCCCCTTTTCATCTTATTCATCCTGTCCTGTCTCCCTCCATTCCTTCACTTTCTCCTCTTCTATTTCTTCACCTTCACCATCTATCCCTTACTTTATTCTCTGCTCTTCCCCCTCCCCTTTCTCTTTCTTCTTTCCTCTTTCCCTTCTCTTCTACTCCATCTCTTCATACTCTCCTCCTTTTCCTTCTCCCTCACTTCATCATCTCCCCCTCCCCTACAACGTTTCTTCTCTCTCTTCATCCTCTCTCCCTTTCCTCTTCCTCTCCCCTTCCCCTCTCTATATCCTCTCCCCATCCTCTATTTCCTCTCTGATCTTTCTCTCTCTTCCTTCATCCATATGTGAACAGCTCCATTGTCTGATAGGACTAAAGCCAAGTCAGAGCAAATCATTCATTCACTCATTCATTCAAGAATTATATATTCACTGACAGCCTCCTCCGGGCAGGGCTTATGGGAGATTCAGAGGAATGAGGTATACAGCCTCTCCTTTGCACAGAGACCTAAGACAAATCCACAAATAACTACAATACAAAATTGAGAGAGACAATGTATCCTGGGGATTCAGACGGTGCCTGGATGGTCCAGAGGACCACCACAATCAGAGGAGTCTGGGAGGCTTCCTGGGGCAGGTGACATTTGAGCCGGGGCTCCAAGATTTCAATAAACAGATGCAATGGGGAGGATGTGGCAATGGATTGAAAGTGGAATGATAACATGAGTCAAAGCTATAGGTGGGCATTTGAAGGACAGCATGTGTCTGTCCCCTGAGGCAGAAGAAGCTAAGGCTGTGCTGGTGGCCTGGAGGAAGTAGGAGAAGTGAGTGGACATGACTGAACCCCTAAGGGGCTCTTCCCATCCTTCATTGACTGTCCCATTCTTTCCTTGCCCCCAACATACATTTTAAAAACATTTTTCTTACCCTCTGTATTCATGGTCTCTGCTCACTTGGGGTTTTAGCCTTCGTGACATTATTCTCACAGGACTGTGCAACTCTTGTATCGGTTGTCCCTACATTTTTCTAGTCCTGTTTTACATTTCTTCACTCTATAAGCTCTATGATGTGGTCAAACTGGGCTTCTTCCTGTTCTTCACACAAGTGACTCTCCATCTGCTCCCCCTGTGTCTCTGCAGTGGCTATCCCCGTGCCTCAATGTCCTCTCGCCTCATCAGTAAGGTCAGTAAGCTGGTCAAGCATTTGTTACACACTTTCTATGTGCCAGGCCCTGTGCTAAGTGCAAGACATACAAAGACAGACAAAACAAAACAAAACAAAAACCATGGTCTCTGCCTTCAAGGAGTTCTAATGGAGGAGACACTGTACATATAAAATGTAGACATGAAGAGAGTTCCATCTCAGAGGAAAGGCACCGCAGGAAAGGGGATAGGCTTGGGGTGAGGCCCCCAGAGTAGGCCTGCTAAAGATGCCCAGATTCTAGCTGAGTCTTGCAGGAAGCCAGGGAAGCTAGAAGGCAGAGGTGAGGAAGGAGGGCATTCTAGGCAGGAGGGATAGTCTGGAGATAGGATGTCAGGACTGAGGAAAAGCAATGAGGCCATTGTTAGTGATGGGGTTATGGAATTCACTGAACCTGGGTGATACTTGCAGGCTTTCTAGGTGAGCTCCAGGGTGCCCAGGGGCCAGGGCTGTTGCCAGGTGGGGGAGGCTGTCTTTCGGATCACAGAATATGTCGTAGGGAGTAAAAAGTAAGAAAACTGGTAAGGTAGGAAGGGGTCCAGTTGTGAAAGGCTTTAAAAACCAGACAGAGAATTTTCTATTTGATTTTGGAGCTAACGGGGCCATTGGAGTTGATTGAGGAGGGAGGTGCCATGGCCAGATCTGCACATTAGGAAAGTCACTTTGGCAGCCGTCTCCTCTTAGAGGGGACAAAACTTAACCTAAGCACCATCATCTGGATCAGGGGTGGGGGACCAATGTGGCCCTCTAGGTCCTCAAGTGCAGCCTGGGTCCTGAGATACAGCCTTTGCTGATTTCTGCCTTGCCCTCCCCAAAACTGCCAGGGTCCTCCCTTCAAAAAATTATCTTGTATTTATTTTGCATACCCTTATGTAGGTACCTGTCGTTTCCCTTCCTCACCCCTCCCTAGAACCCTCCCTATGTGCCTTGAAAACAGTCTTGTCTTTTTATCCCCATTGCCTAGTTCAGGGCCTACCTGTAGCAGGTGTTTAAATAAGAGCTTGTCAATTGGTCGATTGATGGATTCATCCTTTCACCTGTGCTTGTTTTTATTTCTTGAATGTGTCCTTTAGAAGTCTCAGCTCCCCCTCTCTTTAGATGCCTCCTCCTTTCCTTCCTGGTCAGAATCATTTGTACTTTCTAGCATCTCACTGGTAGGAGTCTCCCATCCCTTTGGGGCCACCCCCCTTCCTTTAGAGCTCACTTCAGGCTCTGCTGTCTTGCCTAGTACCCTTTCAATGACTTCCCTAGAACCTGGAGAAGTCTTAGGAAAAGCACACAAGCTGGGGTGTCAAAGGACCTGAGTTTAGATCTGGGTTCTGCTACTCACTACTGGTATAATCTTGGGCAAGTTACTTTCTCCTCTCTGGGCCTCAGTTTCCCTGTCTGTAAAGCAGATGACAGAGATTAGATCACCTCTAGTCTCTTTTTCCCTTGCTCCTCTGCTGGCTTTCCTGGCTCCCTTCAAGATTCAACCCAAATCCCACCTTTTACAAGGAGCCTTGCACAATTTCTTCTCTCCCCTCAGGGCTAGTGCTTTTCCTCTGGGATTGCCTTGCATTTCCACATATATGTACACACTTACCTGAATATAACTTCTCCCATTAGAATTGGTCCTTCTTGAAAGTTGGGAGCGTGCTTTTGCCTTTCTTTGCATCTCAGTGCTTAGCACCTAAAAGCATGTGATAAATGCACCTTGACTTGAACCTTCTAGCTACAAATCTTTGATCCTAAAAAAATCTGTCACTCATCAGACATTTTCCCCTATAATATGGAAGAAGATATCATAGAATCAGCATCAGAGTTGGAAGGAATATGAGAGATCATCTAGTCCCCCCATTTTATAGATGAGGGAACTGAAACCCAGAGAAATGAAGGTCACACATGGGCAGAATCTGGTGTCATTGAGGCTCTAACCGGGGTCTCTTGACTCCAAGCCCTGTGCCCTTCCCATTATACTATACATGATTTCTCCTCAAAAGAGGAGAGAAGGTATCACAGGACTTTGGGGTCACTTCAGTTCTACTTCCCCTGATGAATGCAGTGGGAAACATTTCCAGTCCCTGTATTCCTCCCAAGAAGAGGTTGCACCTGATTCCTCTGCACAAACTCCACCAGAACCCCTTCCCTCAGGATCCAACCTAAGGTCCTGGGTGTTAGGACAAGAGCGACAGGAGACATGAGCTCGGAGGACCAGCAATCTACAGATCAGGTGAGTTCACACAGGCTGCAAAAAGGGACAAGTTAGGGGTAGCTAGTGGTACAGTGGATGGAGCACTGGCCCTGAAGTCAGGAGGACTTGAGTTCAAATCCAGCCTCAGACACATAACACTCACTAGCTGTGTGACCCTGGGCAAGTCACTTAACCCCAATTGCCTAACCAAAAAAAAAATAAAAGGGACAAGTTATATAGCTCATAAAAAGTGGTGGAGGTGGGGGTAGGGCAAGGGGATGAGGAGGGGAGAGGGAAAGATAGGAACAATCCCACTGAGGATGGGTGGGGGGGATGAAGCAAAGTCAGTAAGTCTCCAAGAGGATGAATGTCCCTGGGCCCATTGTGCTCTTGACCCTTGACCTGTTCTGGGACCTAGGATGCTTATGACATGTCAGATGCCCGACTGGCTCTGACCCTGTGTAACACCAAGAACCGAGCAGGGTCAGAAACTGATGTGAAGGCCTTGGAGCAGATGTATGAGGCCCTGGGCTTTAAGAGCACAGTGAGGAGGAACCTTTCAGCTAAGGTATGGCGCCCCTCTCCCCCCCACCCCCCATTGGCTCTGGTGGGGGATGGGTCCAGCCCAGGGAGAAGAGAGGGTGGGGCCGCCATTTCTCTTCTCCCTTCCTCAGATCATTGCATGGGTGAGTTCTGAGCAACCATACCCCCTTGAGCCTGTGGACCTGTCCCAGCCAAGGCTCCTGGACTTGAGTATCTTCTGGACAGGGTTTCTGGGAGGAGCTGGATAAGTTCAGAAAGGACATGGACCAGATGAAAGACCCAGTGAGCTGCTGCTTCGTGGTGCTCATGGCTCATGGCGAGGAAGGCATACTGCTAGGGATCGATGACAACACCATTCAATTGTCGGAACTCTTTTCTATGCTCACTAATGAGAACTGCCAGGCCCTTCGGGGCAAGCCCAAGGTGTTCATTGTACAAGCCTGCAGAGGAGGTAAGCAGAGGAAGCGAGGAAGAGGAAGAGGAAGGAAGGGGAAGGGGAAGAAGGAGCGGAGGAGGAAGAAAGTAGGGAGGAAGAAGGAGAAGGAGGAGGAGGCAGGATCTTTCTAATCTGCTTGGCCCAGTTTGAAGCCCAGAGTCCCGAGCTTAGGGCCCAGCATAGCAAAGAGCTCAACTGAGCCCAACCCAGCACCCAGATCTCAGAGTCCAGTGCCCATAGCTAAGAATCTAGCCCCAGAACCCAGAAATCTCACAAATCTCTGAGCTTAGAACCCAACCCAGTCCAGATGCTAGAACCCAGGGAACCCACAGTCCAGCCTACATGACCCAACACAGTCCAAAGCCCAGCATTTGTTCCTACATCCTACTTTTCCTGTTCTCCGGTAACTGAGCCCTTTTAGGACTAAGCTGTTCTACCTCTCTCCCTCTGGGGCCTCTTTTGGAAAATCATGCCTTTACCTGTACTTTTTAGATCAGAAAGATGCTGGTGAGGTGGTTCAGCCAGCAGAGACTGGAGGAACTTTCGTCTTGTCAGAAGAACATCCTCCCAAGCTCCCAACCTACACAGACACTCTGCATGTCTTCGCTACTGTGGAGGGTAGGGGCTCCCCCTCTCCTCCATGATGGCCCTTCCCCACCTTTCTTATCCATGGCGTTCCCCATTCCTCCTTCATAACCCTCCTGGGCCTCCCTGCCTTCCATCCCATAACCCCTGAAAAACCAAGGATAATTCCATTGTTCCCCCCATTTCCCCTTTAAGACCCAATAACCTTCCTCATGCAATACCTCTTGGGCTGGCCCCTGCATGATACTAATGATCTTCCTGGATTCCCCAGGACACATTGCCTACCGGCATGTGGAAGATGGTTCCTTTTTCATCCAGACCCTGACGGATGTGTTCACGAATATGGAAGGCCACATCTTGGATCTCCTGACTGAGGTGAGAGGCAGAGGAGTCGATCAGTCCCAAAGCCCTCTTTCCTACAGGCCCTTTCCTTTGAGCCTTGAGCCTTTCAGACCAGAAATGCTGCCCCTCTGAGGCTAGGGAACATGAAAAAGAATGGGATGCTGGGCAGAGGAAGAGGAGGAGGAGAAGAGAAGGAGAGAAAGAAGAAAAAGGAAACAAGAAAGAACACTAGATTTGGACCTCAGATCCCAACTGGGTAACTTCTAGCTATGTGACCTTAGGCAAGTTACTTCATGTCTTTGGTCCTCAATTTACTCATCTGTAAAATGAGGGTTAAGGACTTGATGATTTCTAAGATCCGGCTCTAGACCCTATGAATCCATAGCCCTCCCAACTCTACTCCCATCCTTGTAAGAGTTGGTCCTTGTCCTCAGTCCTCATCTCTCTCCTCCCCAGCCTCCTCCCCTCTAGCTCCACTTCCCTGTCCTCTCCTTCAGCCTGATATTCCAAAAGCATCCAACCACGTCAGTCCACTGCTCAAGAATTCAATTCAACCCAATTCAATATACTTTTATCGAGTACCTACTATGTGCCAGGCACTGTGCTAAGCACTAAGGATACAAAAAGAGGCAAAAGACAGTCCCTGCCCTCAAGGAGCTTACAATCTAATGGAAACAACATACAAACAAATATATACAAAGCAAATTATAGATAGAATAAATAGGAATAGATTTAAAAAGGGAAGGCATTGGAATTAAGAGAAGTTAAGGAAGGCTTCCTGTAGAAAATGGGATTTTACTTGGGACTTAGAGGAAACCAGGGAGCTCAATAATTGGAGTGGAAGAGAGAGAGTGTCCTAGGCATGAGGGACAACCAGAGAGAATGCCCAGGGCTGAAATACAGTGCGTTGCTGCTGAAACAGCCAGGAGGCCAGTGTCACTGGATCAAAGAGCACACGTTGGGACACAAGGTGCAATAAGACTGGATGGGTAGGAGGAGGCATCAGTGGCTCCCTTTTGCCTTTAACATAGAGCATGAGGGGCAGCTAGGTGGCACAGTGGATAGAGTGCTGGGCCTGGAGTCAGGAAGTCTTGAGTTCAAATCCTACCTCAGACACTAACTAGCTGTATAACTCTGGGCAAGTACTTAACTATTTGCCTCAGTTTCCTCATCTGAAAAATGAACTAGAGAAGAAAATGGCAGACCATTCCAGTATCTCTTCCAGGAAAACCACAAATGGGGTCACAGTCAGACACGACTGAAAACAACTAAACAAAAAATGGAGCACAAATGCCTCTGTCTGGCATTTAAAACCTTTTGCAATCTGGCTCCAACCTATCTTTCAAGGCTAATTGCACATGATTTCCCTTCAAGGGCTCTTGGCTCCAAGCAGACTGTTCTATCCTACCATTCCCTGTACTTGAGAGCCCACACCCCATGTTCTTCCTTCTCATGTCCACCTCTAGAAACTAGCTCCTTCAGGCATCACCTCCTTCAAGATGCCTCTCCGGAATTCCCCAGTGGTTCATGTCCCTCACCCAAACCACTGTGTAGCTATTATGGATTTAGATTTATCTTTGAAGATACCTTATCCTCCCATAGTAGAACATGAGCTCCTTGAGGGCAGGCCCTACCCCATTTTTATCTTGGTATCTCCAGCAACTCTTAGCCCACAATGTGTTTGTTTAATAAATGCTTGTTGGTTGACTAATTCAACCTCCTTCTATTATTTTTTTCCCATACTTTCTCTCTTTTTCTTACTTCCCTTATCTCTCTTCTCTTCCTTCCCCCCTATTTCTTCTTCCTCCTCCCTTCTTCTTCCTTCCCTTGTCTCTCTTCCTCCTTCCTCCTCCTCTCCCCTCCCACCTCAAAAGCCAGACAAACCAGGCACCATCTTTCAGCTGATGACTTTCCCTAGCAGATTCAGGCACCTCTGCCTTCACAAGCCCCAATATCTCCCCCATTTCCCCTGCCATCTTTCCCTCCTATACAGCAGAAGTCCCCTTCCTTGTGACCCAAGCTATAACCACACTGAGGGGTTTAGGGGCAAGGGGACACTGTGCCCACCAGGAAGTTTGCCCTCACCCCAGCTTATGTAGACTGTGGGTGCCTCTGACTTAATCCCAGGGTCTTACTTGTACAGAGGTCCTGTCAACAGCCCTGCTAATGGCTACTCCCCAACAAGGCCAACAGGAGAGCCTGAGGCTCATCTTGAATTCCCCTGTCCACACAGGTGACCCGGCTCATGGCCGATGCTGAGCTAATGGAAGAAGGCAAGCCTAGGAAGGTGAACCCTGAGGTCCAGAGCACTCTCCGAAAGCTGCTGTATCTGCAATAGTGGGAGGGATCTTAGATTGAGGGGTCTTGACCTGCTGAGCCAGTGAGCTCAAGAGCTGGTGCCCGAAGGCCTTGGAGAGCTGGAGAAGCTAGAATGTGCCTATGTCCTTCATCCCCTCCATGCCCATGTGGTCACCATTCTCTTACTTCACTGGACTCATCAAGAACTTGGGCAAATGTCCTATCCCTCTTACTTGCTTCACTCCCTCCACTTGTTACCTATCTCTTCCCCTGAGATCTAGGGGCAATGTTCAGCTACGGTCCTTGAGTCTCCCTTTCATAGAATACTAGGATCCTTTCAAAGATCAGTGAGTTCATTGACACTAACCCATATGCCCACTATGTCCCACCTTAATAGAGAAGTCTTCTTGAGTCTCCCCTGTCCCCTGAGAGCCACACTTCTGCTCTTAGCTAGGCAAGTCCTAGGACAAAAGAACAACAGCCCACCAATGGGCCAGTATGCAAAGCATCTTTCTGCTTGGTAACACCTTACAGGATGTGCACTCCACTGGCATGACCTGTAAGGCCAAGGGGTCACAGCAAAACTCCAAGACATTTGTGATTTTTATCTGTGTGGGTCCCCCCTCTACCACCAATGCAGACTGCAAGTTATCCTTGCCTTCATGAGTTGCCCTGACCAAACGACAACAGCAGCCACCACCAGCAAGCACATCCGCTAGCCTTCTGGTGATGGACTTCTCTGATCATAGTTGGGCTAATAATCATTGGCGCATACTTAGAGACGCTCTCCAGCCTGTTGTAAACCAACACAGCCTTCGAGAACCCAGGATTACTCTTTTGTCACAGTAAAGCATCAGAATTGGATCCATCTTCCTAAAACATGGCTCTATCAAGTCAGAACTCCCTGGTCTGACATTCAAGGCCTTCCACAATCTGACCCTACCCTTGATCTGCCACCTTATCTTCCCCCTCCTTTCCAACGCACCCTGCCCCTATTTCAATCAGGCTGGTCTCCTTACAGTCCCCTCCATATCACAATTTACTTCTGCCCTCTGCACCTTTGCCCACCACATTCCCCCTCCATCAGGTAGACTGGTTGCTTCTGTGTACATGTATCCCCCCGTAGGAAAATGTACCCTCCTCAAGCACAGAGACTTCATTTTTTGTGTTTGTATCTGCAGTGCCTAGCACAGATCCTGGCACACAGTAGGTGCCTAATAAATGCTTGTTAAGCTGCATTGGCTATCTTCCAAGGCCCAGCTCAGGCCCCACCTCCTCAGAGCCTTCCTGGACTGCTCCAAGTAGTCTATGATAAGCATGCCTCTTCTGACTTAATACACAGGGTCTGTCCCCACATAGCATTATGTGCTTGATTATATGCTGTCTTCAAAGGTTTCCTTTGTGCATCCTATTAATAATAATGAAGATGATGACTCCCATTTCTAGAATAGTAATGATTTACAAAATGCTTTCATTAAAAGACAATGTTGGACCTGAAACTGAGCTGATTATCTTTCTCCCCACCCCCATCCATCCTCCAAACTTCTCTGTTACTATAGAAGGCATCACTATCCTTCACTCACCAAGGTTCATACCTTTGATGCCATCCTCACTCTCCTTCATCCTATGCAGCCAAAAACTTACCAAATTTCATCATTTCTACATCATAACATTTCTTATATCTGACTCTTCACTACTACCATAGTCACCATCTTGGTTTATGCTCTCATTACCTCTTATATTAAATATTGCAGTAGTCTCCAGGTCTCTCCCCCCTCTCCAACATGTTCTACACCCAGCTACCAAAGTGGTCTGGTCTGACCATGTGAACCCCCCCTCCATAGGCAGATAGATGGCACAGTGAATATAGCAGTGGACCTAGAGTCAGAAAGACCTGAATTCAAAACCTGCCTCTACTGTGTGACCTGTTTGCCTTGGTTTCCTCAATTATAAAATGGGAATAATAATAGCATCTACCTTCCAAGGTTGTTGGGAGAACCAAATAAAATAAAATTTGTGAAGCTCTTAGCATAGTGCCTAGAACTTCAATGCTTGCTCCGTTTTGCCTTGAAAGCTCTTCATAACCTGACCCCAACCTATCTTTTTTGGTTTCATTATAGATGAGTGCCTTTCCTATACTCTGCAGTCCAGGTCTTTTTGCTTTTTCCTTCACCCAACAGTCCATATCCCATCTCCCTGCCTTTATACTGGCTGTCTTCCATGCCTAGAATGAACTTCCTCCTCACCCCCATCTTGTATGATCCCTTATTTCCTTCAGGACTCAACTGAAACACCACTTTCTACATCAAACTTCCCTAATACCCCTAACCATATAGTGCTCTCTGTCTCTGTCTTCTTGTGTTTGAAGGCCTTCTATTCATTTGGTATTTGGTTTGTATCTACTTATATGTGCACATGTCATCTCCCAGATAGAATGGAAGTTCCTTAAAAACAGAGACTGTCTCATTCTTTGTCCTTGTATCCCCAGTGCCTGCTTCATTTGTGATCTAGATCATTCCTTTTCAGTCAACTTTGTGACCCAGCATTCCCTGGGTCTCCCCATACTGATGCTGAACTCAGTGCAGACACCCAATGGCATTGAAAACTAGAGGCCAAATGACTCTCCTAGGCACAAACAGTTCTTCAGCCTCAGACTTTCAAGTAGCTAAGATCATACATACAGACTGCTACTTTCTTCCATACCACCCTGGACAAGCTAATCTCATCTGGTCTCAAGCTAAGCAGGAACAAGCTTGGTTAGTACTTGGACAGGAGACTGTCTAAATAATATTAGGTGCTGTGGGCTTTTCCCTTCCCTTCCTTTTCCTTTTTTGAGAGAAAGACAGTTTGGCTAATAGATAAAGTCAGCCTTGAATCCAGGAAGAGATGGCTTTAAGACCTCTCTTTAAGGGAAAAGGTCCCATTTGTATAAAAGTGTTTATAGTAGCTCTTTTTGTGGTGGCTAAGAGTTGAAAATTGAAGGGATGCCCATCACTGGCTAAACAAGCTGTGGCATATGGTTGTAATGGAATACTATCGTGCTGTAAGAAATGACAAGCAGGGGCAGCTAGGTGGTACAGTAGATAGAGCTCCAGCCTTGGAGTCAGAAGGACCTGAGTTCAAATGTGACCTCAGATACTTGAAACTTACTAGCTGTGTGACCCTGGGCAAGTCACTTAACTCCGATTGCCTCACTAAAAAAAAAAGAAAAAAAAAGAAAAAAAGAAATGACAAGCAGGCAGATTTCAGAAAAACCTGGAAAGACTTACATGTACTGATATGCAGTGAAGTGAACAAAACCAGGAAAATGTTGTACACAGTAGCAGCAATATTGCATGATGAAGAACTGTAAATGACATCTGTTCTCAGCAACAAAGTGATCCAAGACGATCCCAAAGGACTAATGAAGCATACCATCCACCTCCAGAGAAAGAACTGATATTGTTTGAATACAGACCAAAGCACACTATTTTTCACTTTCTTTCTTTCATTTTTTTTCTTTTGAGTCTTCTTGTACAGAATGACTAATAAGGAAATGTTTTACATAACTGTGTGTGTGTGTGTGTGTGTATATATATATATATATATAGCCTATATCTGATTGCTTATTGTCTCAAGGAGGGAGGAGGGAAGGGAATGAGGGATAGAATTTCGAACACAAAACTTTAAATAAAAATGTTTAAAAAAATTTTTTTTTAAATCTACATTGAAAAAAAAAAGATTTCTCTCCAGCATATATAGCTGTATGACCCTGGACAAGTCACTTATTCTCAGTGCTATAAGGAAGCTTCCTAAGACTAAAAACCTCAAAGAAGGTGTTGACTTATATTGGAAAGGGGTGTCTTCATCTGTGAGTTCCCTGTACTAATGTAATCAAAGGATCAGTTTTTATCCCCAGTGCCTGACATATAGTAGTAGGTGCTAAATAAATGCTTATTGACTTATTGTTCCTTCTTCATGAGATTTTGCAAATGAGCTAATATTCTAAACAGATATGGCCTTTGGAAGACATCTTTCCTCTTGGCAAACATCAAGTGTTTGCCAATTAAGGTAATGTCTATGTTCTTATTGTCCATTTTTTTTGTGGTAATTGATTTTAATTAGTTAAACTTCTCTGTGAAATTAATTATATTCCATGTTGCTATCATTTCTGCTATTTCTCATTTTTCATTACTGACCAATAAAAAAAAATTTATAAGCACCTACTATGAGCCAGGCACTGTGTTAAGCTCTGGGGATACAAAAAAGAGGCAAAAGACAGTCCCTGCTTTCAAGGATCTTACAATGAAATCAATTAATTTGTTGAAATAATAGATTGAATTGTATCAATTGCATGCCATATCCCTTACTCATTATTCTTTCTAGCTTTTTACTAATTCTGATCTAACAATAATTATCACTGGCATTTATATGCCATTTTAAGGTTTGCAAAGTATTCTACCTATCAGGCAGATGCTATTACTATACTCATTTTATAGAGGAGCAAACAGAAATTAAGTGACTTGCCCAAATTCACAGTTACTAAGTATTTGAAGCTAGATTTGAATTCAGGTCTCCCTGAAGCTAGATTTGAATTCAGGTCTGTGCCACCTAGCTGCCTTATTTTTATTCCGACCAATCGGGGACAAACCATACACAGACAACTGATTCGACAGCAACTCACATCTATTAAAAGTCTTTTTCTGTATGTTAATATATCAATTTCAGGGACAGCTAGGTGGCACAGTGGATATAGCACCAGCCCTGAAGTCAGAAGGAACTGAGTTGAAATCCGGCCTCAGACCAAACACTTAACACTTACTAGCTGTGTGACCCTAGGCAAGTCACTTAACCCCAACTGTCAAAAAAAAAAATATATCAATTTAATTTTTGTGATGTTATTTAATATTTGCCATGCTCAACTCCAAGGTCACATGATTACTAAAAATGCTAGCTCATATTGAGCATGCAGACCATTAAAACCTCATCTTTTGCACATGAATTAACTGCTGAGGCACATCATCTCTATCTTGTGCTTGAGACATTGATTTTTCAAATGCA